ACAATATTTATTGTTATGCATACCCTTTTCAAAAGGTATGCATACAGATCAGTGGGATTTAACTGAGACCAGAAATAAACCCCTTCTTCTATAGTCCATTGAATTTTGACAAGTGTGGACAACAATACATTGGGGGACAATTGGTTATCCATGTGCAGAGGAATGAAACTAGACCCTTACCTCATTCCACATAGAAACGTTAGCTCAAAATAAGTAAAGGTATAAATGTAAGAGGTAAAATTATAAGCTCTATAAGAAATAAATGGGGATAAATCTTCATAACCTTGGATTTAGCAATGCTTTTAGCTCTGACAGAAAAGCATAAGAAAAGAAATAACAAATAATATCCTCAAAATTAAAAATCTTTTCAGCATGCCTGGGTGGCTCAGTTAGTTAAGGATCTAACTTAACTTTGGCTCAGATCTTGATCTCAGGGTCATTATATCAAGCCCCATGTCAGGCTCCACGCTGAGTGTAGGACTTACTTGAGAGTCTCTCTCCCTCTTCCTCTTCCCCCGACCGCTCACACACTCTCTCCCCTCGCTCTTAAAAAAATGTAAAAAAAAAAAAAGTTACAAATCTTTCTACATAAGAAGTGACTATCCTGAAAGTGAAAAGACAGCCCCCAGAAGGAAATATTTGTACATTATGTAGTAAGAATCTGTTGTCCAGAATATGTAAAGAGCTTTTACAACTCCGCAACACAAAGATCTCCTAATTTTAAAATAGACAAAGGACTTGGATAGACACTTCTCCAGAGAAATATTGGGGAGTTGGGTGTTTAATGCATAGAGTCTCCTTCCGGGAGAATGAACATATTCTGGAGAATGAGGTACTAATGTGGGAACTCAGCTAAGGCCAGAGCATTGTGGAAAGGGGAAACACAAGCGGGGGAGTGGGAGAGGGAGAAGCAGGGTTCCCACCGAGCTTGGAGCCCGACACGGGGCTCATCCTCAGGACCCTGGGATTCTGACCTGAGCTGAAACAGATGCTCAGAGACTGAGCCACCCAGCCGTGCCATGTTAGTCTTGTTTTATTTTCAGTTATCCTTGAGCCTTGAGGAACTCGGGCCTGAACTCTGTGGGTCCTCTGATAGGTGGATTTTTTCCCCTGGTGAATACAGTATGGTAGTATGAATGCATTTTCTCTTCCTTGTGATGTTCTTAATAACCTTTCCTTTTCTCTAGTTTACTTTATTGTAAGAACGTAGTATGTAATATATTCAACATACAAAATATGTGCTAATCAACATTTTATGTTGATGGTAAGACTTCTGGTCCACAGTAGGCTATCAGTAGCTATATTTTATTGGGAGGGTCAAAAGTTATATGCAGATCTGTGGCTTCATGTAGGGTTAGCATCACTGACACCCCACAGTGTTCGAAGGTCAGCTGTATTTCAGAGCTGGGAGTAGAGAATAATTTTTAAGGGGTGTTGGGCCTTTGAAGATCTTAGTTCAAAACTCAGATTAGCTGGGATACTGGGCAGTGCAGTGGGGTGGAGTTGGGGGAGGCCTTTCTGAGATACTCCAGCCTGAGAGCAGCTGATGTGCCAGTGTGTCGTTACCTGACTGCATAAGGGAACCACCTGGGGAGAAGCACAGTGGGAGGACAGGCAGGTGCCCAGCATTTTCAAGCTCCTCTACTGACCACAGCATGTGGCCAGGGTGGCTGTGTCCACACTGGGTGCCCTAAATTGGCCCAGCCTTGCAGGATTCCGGGCTGATCACCTTGCAGAACTGCAGGAAATGAGAATTAGCCTTCCAACCTACCCACTCTCCATCCCTGCTGAAATTGTAGCTCTCCATCTTAACTCCTGGACCTTGTTATATCATCACTGTGAGGGTCAAGGGACAGGAGGTGGCTCCTGACACACAGGACAGGGTGTGGCCTTAGTAGCTAAACAGATGTGAGTTCGAATCCTGACTCTGCCCTGTAAAAGCTCTGCCATCTGGGGAAGACTCTGAACTGCAGTTGCCCCCTGCAAAGTGGAGCTGGGGTAATGCCGCCTACCTGCAAGATTTCCATGAGGCTCATGGAGGGGAGGCTGGGAGACGCGTGCGTCCCCTCTGCCCCAGCTCTGCAGCTGGGTGCACGAGGATCACCCTGGCTCTGCCATCTTGTCTTCAGCCCTCCTGTGTGCACGCATTCTCCTGGGCTCCCTCACCCTTCCCACCCTAGGTCAGGCTCCCCCTACTCGCCGTAGGTTAACACCCCCTCTCCAGGAACGGTGGAGGTCTGCCTTGCTCTGCCATGGTCTCACTGATGCCTCTCCCCTTGCCTGCCTTCCACCGTGGTTCCACCGTGACTCAGTGCAGTGCAGCCTAGTTTGCCCCCTCCATTGCGTGTGAGGCCACTGTCCGCCCTCCCAGAGATCCCTGGTACTCTCCATGCCGGCCCCTTCCAACCACCCAATCTGGAATTGTGTCCATAGCCAGCTCCAGAAACCCAGCAGCATTAAGTCATGCCTTGCTAAGACCTTAAGTGGCCCCGACTCACAGTCGGCCCGTAGGATGGGGCCCTGGCCTGCCTCTACAGTCCCCTCTCGCTTACTCCCTCACTCACCTCAGATCCTCCCACCTGGGCCCTCCTACCTCAGGACCTTTGCACATACTGTTCTC